ATGAATTACTGGGGATATTCGTTACAGGTGTAGGTTAAACCTACTTAATGTTGAGGGTTCTTCAAACTGTTTCTTAAAATGTTTTAAAGAGTTTTCAGAAAGGGATATCTGCATGTTATTTTTTAGTCCAGTTTCTTCCTTTTATGTCTCAAAATTATGCTGATTTCCCCACTTCCCGGAGATCATTAGTTTCTTAAGAACAGTTATGGATGTTTATAGGTGGGAAACAGTATACAATTTTATATACTAGTCTCAAAAAAAAATCTACATATCTAAAGGTGTGTTTATACATTTTAGCATTATGTTTTGTAACTACATTTGTGCCATATAATTTATGCATGTGTTAAACATTATATTAAATATTAATTAAAAAAACACATTTCATTGCAAACCCTTCAATCTTCATTCCCAAGTCTACTACCTTAGCATTTATCTATCTTTTCATGCCTCTCTTAACAAAGTATTTTAACTTGTGCTTTGTTGCCTCTTGCCTGATTCTTATTATAATTTCATGGCTTGATCAAAGTTCCTGCATTTTTTTCCTGTTAAGAAGATTTTGTAACTTCAAAAGGTTAGAAAACGCCTATGTGTTTTGGAGAGTTGCCTGTCAATTTACCAAGCCGGGTGGTGTGTATGTTGTGGTGTGTGTGGCATGCCCAGACTCTTGGGACAGTGTCTAAAACTTGTGATCTGTGACATTATTGCTCCAGAACTGTTGAGTCATTATGTTTTCTTGGAGATTTTGTGTGGTGTTTGGTCAATACAGGAAGTACTAAAAAAGAGTTAAATAATTCAAAGTTATTTTTATTGGATACAAAAAAATTTAAAAGACAAGGAGGAAAACTTAATAAGCAGGGCCAGAATTACAGCTTAACATCCCCAACCGGTGCCTTTTTAATTACAGTACTTTCCCCCAGAACTTTTTAATCCTATTACTTTTATATTTTAATAAGGAAACTAGTTAAAACATAAACCAAACAGAACTATTACAAATAATGGGGATAAATGGTGGATAAAACCAGATGTTTTGCCTAAAGTTAAGAGTTAAGGAATCTGAACTCTGTCAAAGGCTCCCAATAGGCTCCTCCCTCTCCTCTCCCCAGTAAGCTGGTGATTTTGAAAGGCAAAGGATCTGGGAAGGGAATGGAGACAAAAATCAAAAAAGGAAACAAGTTGTTAAGGTATGTTTCTCCTATCCATTTGACCATTCTAACAACCTAGGACTCCAGTGGCAGGTGGTTTGAATGATGATTGTTGGACTAGGCTGCATATAAAATGCTTTGGTTGTGAGTCTTTATTTATGTGTCCCTTAGGTTATGAATTAAGTCTGGGCTTATTTGTCACCCATTTCATAGTGGTTTTCAGAATCAGTGCCAAGACCATGGTTTTGTTCCTCTCTTAACAATTTAATTTCAGCCAAAGTGATGCAAATCTGAATCTGCAGAACAAGTAATGAGTATTTGTATTTTCTTTTCATGCTTCTTGCTGCAGTCTCTACAAACAAAATTCTTGGTCTCCTAGTCACTTGTTCAGCAAATGTTTTTGAGTGCTTACCATGTATTTCATTCCCATAACATACACATTCCCATAACATACACATAACTAACATACCCATTAGTTCCTTGAGGGTGATACTCTTTTGTATTTTAAGTATCTAGTAGATTGGGGTGGTGGAGATGATGAATGTGTGATTAAAAGACACCACAGTAGAAAGATGTGCAAAGGATGTGAACAGGCAATTCCTAAAAGATGCAAATAGTCAATGAATGTGAAAATATCCTCAACCTGCAATTTGGTTAGGGAAGTACAGTTTAACACAGAGATGTATGTTTTCTGTCTGTCTGATTAATCCATGTTTTAAAGGTAGATAACTTCTTAGTTGTGTTGGGGGTAACTGACAGACTCTATGGGAGCATGCATCACTGCAACCTTTAGGAAAAGCAGACAATTTCTATGAAACTTTGGAATGTGCATACCTTATGGCCCAGCAGTCCCATATTTGGAGTTCTGTCTTACAGAAATAAAACATCAGCTTGTGAGAATCAGTGTATGAAGATGTTTATTGCAGGATTATTTTAGTAAGTAAACTAGATGCAACATGGATGTCCATCAGTGGTATGAATAAGATAGGGTACACCCATACTATGGATTATTTTGCCAAGAATGACCATATTATAAGTGTAATATTTGGTTGTTGGAAAAGTCATGACATATTTTTTCAAAAATGCATCATGACTTTTCTAATACCTCAATAAAAGCAAGTTGGAGAGTATCATATGTAGAATGATTCTATTTCTGACTTGAAAAAGAAGCATGGCTCTTAGAGAAAGATATGGAAGGATACATAAAACATCATTTTAAACAACTTAGTGCTGTTTAAAACTTGCAGTAGGGAGGGGTAGTGGTGATTAACTTAATTTATTTATACCTCCATTTGTTCACTCTTCAGACACTCAAGCTTTTCAATTATGAAAACACACATATTATTTGGTTAGTGAATAGGAAACTCTTCTGGAGCCAATTTGGAAACAAAATCTGGGCAGTGTCACACTTGCTTTCTCAGATGCCTTCTGCAACCATCTCTGATTTTGTTGGGGACTTTCAGTGAATTATCTGAGGCAATATTAAGATTCCCCAACTTTTAGTAAATCCCTTCAGTGTAAAAAAAGGCTTCAGGAAAAGCTGTTTACCTCTATCCTCTGGAGAATAGGGAAAATAAAGAGATCATGAAAACTCTTAGTAGACACTCCTTTTCCTTGATTTTGTCTGATCCCATTCTGAGGAAAGCCCAGTGTCAGTTTTTAGACTGACATTAGAGAAATCTTTCTGACCGAGTGAGGAGCCTTCCTAGCTGGGAGCAGCATATCCTTAAACTTGATTATCTTAGTTCAGGCCTGGGCTGGCATTGAACCCAGGACTCCTGCTTTATTCTCCTTAGCTGGTTGCGCCACCTGTGCCATTTTCAGTCTTGCCTCTTTTTTTTTTTTTAAAAAGATTTATTTTATTTATGCATACAAGAATTGGGGTACAGGCCAGAGGTGCGGGGGGAAGAGGATTCGCCAGAGACAGAGTGGGGAACAGAACAGGTAGATTGAAATACGCCGCTGAGGGGAGCAGCGGCTGAGTCAGGAGAGGTCTGCTGCGCCATGTGGATATCTCTCTGGCCAGGGATTGAACTTGTGCTGCAGTGGCTGCAAATAGCTTCATAGGTTGCATCTTAACCCCTTGTGCCACCAGGGAGGCCCCAGTCTTGCCTCTTAATGTCATTTTTGAAACTTGGTATGATTCATGAGTTCTTGGTAGTTATTGCTAAAACCAAACATTCAAAAGCAGTGGAAGCTCTGTCTACATTACCAGTGGATCCTGATGGGAGACCCAGAAATTCAACCCACTCTGCTGCACAATTTCCATGTTTTAGATTAAATCAGTGTTTTCCACTTTAGAATGTATCAGTTACCTGGAGGACTGGTTACTGTTGTTTCAATAGCAAAAAAAAAAAAAATATGCTGGTCATGACCCATTGGATTGATTTCATTGCCCACTAACCTTGCAACCCTTGATTTAAAAATCTGTATTGTAGACCTTACCATTACCAATAATCATTCCTCTGCCGAAATCTTTAGAAGTATTCCAATGTGAACCTCACCTTTTCATTTTTACTTTATTCCCTATTCCACCTAGCCGTCACCCTGCAACTGTCTCTGGCCTGTGACTCTTCCTCATTTTCACAGTCCATCATCCCTTTCTTCTCCTCATCTGCAAACCTCCTGACCTACAGCTCTGTTGTTTGCACACACTTTTCACCCTTTCTCTCTTCATCTTCCTGGGAAACCCCCATCTTGCTCCTGCCCCAGGCTGGCGAACCTGGCCTGAGAAAACACACAGCCATATGCATTATCTCCTTTAGATTTAAGATTACAAACCTCAAGGGGAACTCTTGGCACTGCCAGGTCCACTGTTTCTTCCTCTTATCACACCCCCCTCCCCACTCTTTCTTCAGCAGATGACCTGGCTTATTTCACTAAGAAAAAGGAAGCAATTAACTAGTTTCATCATCTTCCCATGCTAAATCTGCTAAGGTGCCTGCGTGGGTAACCACACAGCATTGTAACCACATGTGCATCGGATCCTGCTCTCTGCTGACATGCAGAGGATTTTCACTCACATGTATTCCCTTTCCCTTCTGTATCTTCAGTTTTCCCTCTTTGATGGATAATCCCCAGGAGAAACGAATATGTCTCATCTTAAGAAAAAAAATCCGCAGCAACAGCAAGACACTCTTGACCCTTGATCCCAGTCAGCTGTTCTCAGACTCCCCTGCTCTTCCTTGCCATAAATATTTCCCCTGCTCATCTCCATTTCCTTCCTTTTCTCTCAGGCTTGAACCCCACTCCCAAGTTTGGCTTTGCCCCACCCCTTCACCTAAAACACAGCCTTTTGCCGAAGCCACACCCCTTCGCCGAAGCCACACCCCTTCGCCGAAGCCACACCCCTTCGCTGAAACCACACGTTGTCGTGTGCCGGCGATTTCTGGTGGTCGGTGGACCTCAGGTTCCACAGCCTCTTAGCAGCAGTTAGCCAGCTGGCTGCACTGCCCTCGCCTGGCTTGCACACCACGAGCTCGCACACCCCTCTTCCCTGCCCCCAACTCCAGCTCCTGCTCTACCGCACCCCGTGGTTTCTGAAGGTAGGAGGCGCTCTCCCATACTTCTCTTCATGTACAGGTCTGCGCCACTGTCACCACCTCAGAGGTCTTCCTGGCCTCCCCTAGCACGGTCACCAGGCTCTGCCTTTTTAGTTTTCATATCAGGTGACCTTCCCTGGCTATACATGCGGCATTCATTTGTCTATCTTGTGACGCCAGCATATACACTTCATAAGAGAAACCATCTCTGACTCTGTCCCCACAAGTGTCTGCAACAACACGGGGCACATCGTACTCAACAAGAAAATTTTAGTGAGTGTGTGATGAAGATTTGCTGGTTACAGAGGTTAGCTTTGGGTGAATAAAAGTGAATCTTCCCCAGATATGGGCTGAGGAAGAGAGAAATGTTGAGGTGGAAAAGCCATGTCTCATAGGTGCAGTATTTTTAAGGTTAGGTGTTGAGAGTTAGGGGTTCAAGTTTGGAATGAATGAAGCTCCTCCTTGCCAAATACTGCTGAGTGCTAGAAGCACAGCCAGGGAACAGCTAGAGGGACACAAATGGTTGCTTCTCGTTTTTATCTCTGAAGAGGGCCTCTTAAGCAGTCCACTCGGTAGCTTTTGTCCCTGGGTTGAAGTTGGTAAATTCACTTGTCTGAAGTGTTTATCATTGACCTTGATGTTCTGGTGAGTCGTTTTGGTGCATCACTTGTCCCCAGAGTCCACTTGACCGTGTAGACAGATGTCTCCTTTCTCTCAGACAGTGTGGAGTGAATTCCTGCAGAGTTGTGGGGATGTTTGTTGGTTCTTATTGCTGCCCTCCTGGGCAGCCAAGGTAGAGAGCCCAAAGCCTAGTGAATTTGAATTAAAACTCCACTCTTTTTCTCTTCGCCTTGCTTCCAGACAGCCACTTAATGAATTGACACCTGTGTTCAGGACCGATAAGTGAAGATATTTCCTGAGTGTGGCCTGAGGTCATGCCTGGCAAATCTTCCAAGGGGAGCTAGGATTATTCCTGGGTTTGAGAAATTACATTGTGGGCACTTTAAGAGGCTTAATTTTCTCCTATCAGGGCTCTCTTTTGGCTCCACACCTGTCACTCTGGGCCCTCCTTTACCAGGTTAAATGAACTCTCCTGGGCACAAGACATCTGCCTGAGGCCCGGCCACAGAGCACTTGGGTTCAGTGCATCCAAGAAGAAAGGGCACATGTCTTTGGAGGATATTTACAGTGATTTGAATGGTAAATGTATTTTTTTTTTTTAAGATTTATTTATTTATACAAGCACTGGGTACAGCCAGAAGCGCGGGAGGGTGAGAGAACTCACCAGAGCCAGAGCAGGGAGCAGAACAGGCAGAAGGACCGAAGCACACTGCTGAGGGGAGCAGCGGGCAGCAGGAGAGGTCTGCGTGCCATGTGGGACCCTCCTCTGGTGGCCGGGGATCGAACCGGCCCTGCAGAGGCCGCAGGCAGCTTCGCAACCCAGTGCTCAACCGCTGTGCCACCGGGGAGGCCCGGTAAATGTATTCTTATTGTCAGTATTTTTTTTTTTAAAGGGAGTCCTTAATAAATCCAAGATAGCCTTTCCTGCCCTCAGTTGGAAGGAACTGAGGCCTGAAAGGATGAGACTTGCCTGGGGCCACTTGCAAAGCTGGCATTGGAATCCCACTTGAACACCACCAACAGGCTCTCTGCTTTTCTGGGATGTCCTGTTGAACCTTGACTTTAATTCATGGCTGTGGTTCTTGGCCCTGGGTATGCAATAGAATCTCCAGGGAAGCTCTTTAAAAATTCCTAAACCTCACCTGACTCACTGAATTGGAATCTGTGAGAACAGGACCTGGACACCTGTGTTTTTTTTTAACTTTCACTAGGAGAGGTTGCCCCAGAACAGTGTATAGGGGGAACTGGGAACAGTCACTCTGCAGTCATCGCCTGCTGTCTTTGCACACTGCACAGACACTTCTCCTGTCTGGTACAGGACAACTGTCTCAACATTCAGTTTGCTCCTATATCCCCTCTGGTTACTGAGTAGTGTTCCAGTTTTAATGTGTATCGAAAGGACTTTTGTCTTTTCTTTTAGGGACATTTTCCCAGTGGATTGTGTCCCTCTTATGCAGAAATGAAAGCTGTGTTCAATTTGAGAAAATCACCTTCTTGGGGGGCTTTAAAGGGTATTCTTGTTACTGTCCCTAGATGCCTGAATGCTGAGGGTGGCTAGCCTGCTCTCAGAGAAGCTGGAAGCCAGCAGCTAGCCTTGACGGTTACCCTGACGGAAGGAAGAAGAGTATGAGTTGGCTGTGCAGGGATGGGTGTGGATGTTTTTTATAAGATGGTAGATTACTTGCCAGTTCTTGCTGGTGAACTTGCAGATGTTTTGGAGCTCTGCTTTTGTGACATTTGCTACAGTCTCCTAACCAATTACATAGCACAGCCTGCAGTGATGTGCTGTCCTGCCTTTCTGTGGACTTGGCAAGTAGTTTATATGGACTTTGAAGAATGTACCCAGTGAAGATATTAGAACAAACCCTGTGGACCCTGAGAAGCAAATGGGGGTGGCCAAGTGTTCCTCACAAAAGGAACAGGAGAAGGCCTGTTTCTCTTGCACTGGAAGCTGATAGATTATTGGAGTTTGTTAGGGCTGTCACAATGCTGCAAACTGGTGCTTCAAATGACAGAAATGTATTCCCTCAGTTCTGGAAGCTAGAAGGCCAATATGCAAGTGTTAGCAGGGTTGGTTCCTTCTGAGGGCCATGAGAGAGGGAGGCATCTGTACCAGGTCCCCCTCCCTGACTGGTAGAGTGTCTCTCTGTTTTTATGTCCAAATTTCCCACTTTTTAAAAATATGGAAACAGGTCATCTTGGATTAGGGTCTACTGTGATGTCCTCATTTTATCTTGATCAGCTCTGTGAAGACCCTAATACCTTTCTGAGGTACTAGGAAGTTAGGACTCCATATAATTTTTGAGGGGACACAATTTAACACTAACACAGGTTGTTAAAGTGATGTGTGTAGAATCAGACATCCGACACAGTATGCTTGTTTGTGAAGTACTTTTTAGGCTAAGGTCACCTTGGTGGGTTAAGAGTTGCTGAATTTTGTACCTGCCAGTTTTACTGACCTATCCTTGGCACTTTGCTGTTTACCAAGGCTTTGTATTTATATTGCCATCGTAACAACCCTGTAGGGCAGGTATTGTTTCTATTTTGAGAAAGCTGAGGTGTACCAAGGTTTCCAACACTGAATACTGGATTCTTCTCTATATCATAGATTTCTCCTAAAACTCCAGTGATACTGAAACTTTGAAATGCATAAGAATTTCTTGGAGAGGTTGTTAAAAAATACAAATTTGGGAGACCCTCTGGAATACCTCTGAATCAGAAGCTGAGTCTGCAACCAAGCAATCTGTATTTTTTTCTTGTCTCCCCTGGAGATTTTTTGATGCACTCTAATATATGAGAACAAATGCCCTCTACCATGGACATACTTCATTTCACTTTTAAAGATTTATTTATTTATGCATACAAGAGCTGGGGTACAGGCCAGAGACACAGGGGGTGAGAGGATTCACCAGAGACAGAGTGGAGAGCAGAACAAGCCGACTGACCAAAACACACTGCTGAGCGGAGCAGCAGGTGAGACAGGAGAGATCTGCTTCGCCATGTGGGTTGCTCCCTGGCTGGGCAGCAATCGAACTCATGCTGCAGCCTGGGGATTGCTTCATAGAGCGGTGCTTAACCCCTTGCGCCACCAGGGAGGCCCTATCATGGACATATTTTAGAGGGGAACCTAACCAATAACACCAAGTTCCTATTTGACTTTTGTTGATGGCTTGTTTGGAGGCATCACGGAAAGGTGCTCACTGAAATGCTGATACTCTCAAGCCCCAGAGGCTCTCCTCTTATACAGAACCTCTGCCATCATGCTGAGGTGCAGGGTCTGAGCTCTTTAGTTGTCAAGGCCATGCTCACTGTTCCTCAGCTAATGGAAAGTAAATCTGACTAGAACTTGAACTTTCTGTGTTGCTGAAATGTACCTTGTATGACAGGGACTAACTTGAGGGTGTGTGGTAACAAATAAAGAGCTCAAATTGGAATACTGAATCGGAAGCTGAGGTTGCAACCAAGGTATCAAAGCAGAAATAAAACCAGAAAGAAGATAAGGCAAGAACACATTTGTGATTATTAAGTATTTATTGCTAGCAATGTATTCACATTCACGAAAATGTGCTGGCGCATACCCAGTGTAAGAGAATCACCTGGAGAAATTTTAAAAACAGATTTCTGGACCCTGTCCCTAGAGATTTTTCTTTTTAAGGTGGGCTCAAAATTCTGAGCCCCTGGTCTGGGCATCACATGTAGCTTATCTGTTGATGATACAGCGACATTCTCTCTGAGTAAAGAAAACATTTCTAAGCCTTGACCATTTCATTAACCTATATAGATTGTAACCAATACTCCGGATCAATGCCCAAGGTATTTCACCATCTTAACTTTATATTAGGGGTTATATAACAAAATACAAGCCCTTTTAGCTAGGGCTGCATTTGATCAGTTGGTCATCACCATCAGAATTACCTGGGATTAAGGTTAAACAGACTAGCTACTCAGTTCCCATAGATTTAAAATTTGGTATATGTGTGTGGGGCCCAAGAATGTATATTTTTCACTATAAGGGGTATATTGAAGTTTGAGTGTTACTGAGCAGGAACTTGAAAATCAGTTCTGCTTTTTATCAGAATGGAGTCACCATATAAGATCATAAACACTGTTCGATTGATTGTTTACAGGGTCATTTTCCATTTTCTGTTTATAATGCTGTTGTCTTGTCTGGAAGTTACCAGGACCTCATTCTGTAGCGGAGTTGTAATTTTAATAAATTGTTAGTATGCTGTTTGAATAATCACTCTCCCTCCCTTTTTTACATAAACACAGGTAGTTCATTTTAAGAAGCCTTAAAACAAAAGTTATGTTCCTTTTTCAGGTGAAGTCCTTCGGAGCATTGATAGTATATGAAATTTGTTAGATATTTTTAGAGTTAATTCCAGAAAGCTTTGTGGGTTTCAGACTACCCAAGTAGTTAAAGATGACCTTTGGTAGAAATCCATTTGTGTTCTTGGGTTCTCTGTGCATATTTTTTTTTTTTTAAAGTTAAGTGTTCTCATATGAGGGGGCAGGTTGGGAGAATGGGCCTCACTCTTATTAGTAAAAGAGATTCAGTTGCACTGACCTTGGTACCTTGCTGTATGCCTTGCAGATATTTCTGAAAATTGATTTTTTTCTTCCTTGGATACAGGATTCTCACTTCTGTGTTCTTCCTTGTGGCAGAATGGAACCTTCACTTTTCAAAAGAGGTGTTGAAATTAATTTTGTGTTATTGGGCCATACATGCCCATTTCACTTTATATAACATTCCTTTTTTTTTAATTTTTTTTTAAAGATGTATTTATTTATTTATACAAGCACTGGGTACAGTCAGAAGCATGGGAGGGTGAGAGAATTTACCAGAGCCAGAGCAGGCAACAGAACAGGCAGACTGATGAAGAAATACACTGCCGAGGGGAGCAGTGGGCACAGCAGGAGAGGTCTGCGCGCCATGTGGGACCCTCACTGGTGGCCTGGGATCGAACCCGCCCAGCGCTGCAGAGGCTGCAGGCAACTTCGCGCTCAACCGCTGCGCCACCAGGGGAGACCCATTTTATGTAACATTCTTAAAAAGTTAGGGACGATAAACTATTTCTAACATTGCAGTAGGAACTGCATGTTTGTCAAAATTGATAGAACTGTGCACCTAAAGAGGATGAAATTTATGGTGTATAATAATGTTTCAATAAACCTCACTCAAAAATGTATCAGGGGAACCTGTCACTTTAGCCATCCTTTTTGTGGATTAGTTTGCTGAGGAAAGATTCCTTTTGTGATGCAAATGATTTCCCCAGGCTTCTTTGTTTCCTACTTGTTTGAAAATTGTTCTGTGTGCTTTATCTGGTTGGTGCTTCTTGGGGTGGAGGAGTGGACTGGCGCAGGGCTACTAAGGGATGCAATTGGCCTCTCCATTCTTCTTGATAATTTTCATCCTAGCATCACATCTAGTACATGGCAGTGTACTCAAAGCTTTGGGGAATGAATGCACCATCATTTTGATGGAGAAATGAAAATTCAGAGAGGCCAAGTGGCTTGCGCAGATGTGAGGGCAGCAAGGCCAAAGTGGGCGAAGAATCCTTCAGGCCATCTCCCTTCCA